TGAAAGACCAGCAATACACATTAGCTTTTACAATATGTTAAAAAGCATCATCAGGGTGGAATGCTGGACACTTGGCCTTGGCGGGAAACTCCCTTCTTCCACATGCCCAGATAGATGGTCAGGACAGCTCCTAATAACAATCCTCCAGTACATAATGATTCCCCTCCCAAATACCATGCCCCCCTCCCCGTTTCAATGGCAGCCAAAAAGCAGCAACGAAGCAGAGGCTGACAGTACTTTTTAACATATTGTAAAAACTAATGTGTATTGCTGGTCTTTCACCGTAATAAAGATTTACTTACCCTGAAACCAGTGTTTATCAACCTTGGCTGCTTAAGAGGGGAGAACTCCCAGAATTCCCCAGTCAGCATGGGGAAGTCAGCATGATGGTTGGGGAATTCAGAGTTGACATCCAAATTTGTCAAAAGTGAGAAGTGTCCTTAAAATGTACATAGGTAACTTTTTTGGTCTTTAGCCATTTAGACTAATGGCTCTTTCATGCCTGTATATGTATGCTACCCTGGGATTCAAAGACCCATCATTCCGCTCTGCCACAGATGACATTCCGTGCATAGCAATAGCAATTAGACTTACATATTGCTTCATAGTGATTATAGCACTCTCTAAGTGGTTTTCAGAATCAGCATATTGCCCCAGCAATCTGGAAAGATGGAAGGCTGAGTCAACCTTAAGTCGATCAGGACCAAACTCCTGGCAGTGAGCAGAGTCATTCTGCAATACTGCATTCTAACCACTGCACCACTATGGCTCTTGCATCCACCTTACACATAAACTCACCCTCCATCCCTAATTCCTATACACATTAATCTCTTTTATTCAGAACTCTTGGTACAAGTAGTCTGTCCAACAGCTAGTTTATTAGGCAAGAAAGCCAGCTGGTTAACCTATGGTTAATGAGCCAGAGACTGCATTTCCCTGTGGGTTAAACATCTGCAGTGTTTGGCTTATCATTCCAATTCTTAAAACTTGGAAAACTGACAGCTGAATGTTTGAACTGAGCCTCTTAAAACAAAGATTACTTTTTGTGCTTTTATCATTAGATAAAAGGATCCATGATTATACAACCTCACCCTTGGGACTGCTGCAGAGTTAGGAGCCGTCATATCAGGTGGATGCAAGAAATGATCCAGTGTCCCTTGCCATGTTGATTTTATTAAGCTGCAGGTTTCTGTTAATTTCTCATCATATCTTTTTTTTCTGTCTCAATATGACCACAACTGAAACCAGAATTTCCGTTATTAAGGAAGGCAGTTGTTAAGTGAGTCCCACCCAATTTTACAATCTTTTTTTTTGCCACGCAAATCACCCAAAGTTGTTATATTAATTACACAAATCTGGCTTCCCCCATTAACTTTGCTGGGAAGCCACCTGGGAAAGTTGCAAATGGTGTTCACATCATATCAGTACACTGCAGTTGTCTTAAATATATGCCACTTGCCAAGCGTCCAGACTTTGTTCACATGACTGTGGGGATGCAGCAGTGGTTATACGTGCAGTTGTAAATCACTTTTTCCAGCACCACTGGCGCTTTGACTGATCACTAAGCAAATGTTTGCAAGTCGATAACCCCCTGTAATTGAATTTGGCCCAAAGGAAGATGTTGGTATTTCCCCCATTTTATTTTCTTCTTTCTTTACAATAAGATTAATCAGTCATTCATGGATATCATATTGATTCTAAACAGCCCCAAAGTGTTCTGATTATTTCTAATATATATAACTTGTTAGTTCCCAGGGTTCTGTTAATTCCTCATACCCTTTTTCTGTGTCAATATTTAAATTTGGCCCCAAAACAAATTCTAATATTTTTCTCATTTTTATTTTCTTCCTTCTTTTTTGGTAGGGTTTATCTCATTCAAGAATGCCAAATTGATTCTAAACAGCCCCAAAGTGTTACAATGGGTTCTAATATATTACTTGCAGTATAGCTAATTTCAAAAAGATGAAAGAAAATTGGGAAAGAAACAAGGGAAAAGGCAGTGTGCTTTTTGGGGGAGAGTGTCTGTGTGTCAGCCGGATCTCCAGCATGGGCTTTTCCTTTGATGCATACTTTCTATCGGCTGCCATAGTAACGGGGTGGGGGGGGTGGCATTGGGGTTAGGGAAGTGAGCTGGTGTGATGAAGGCAGTGGTGGGTTTCATTTTTTTTTTACTAACGGTTCTGTGGCCGTGGCTTGGTGGGCATGGTGTGGCTTGGTGGGTATGGCAGGGGAAGGATACAGTAAAATCTCCATTACATCTCCATTTCAGGGAAGGTTACTGCAAAATCCCCATTTCCTCCTGATCAGCTGGGACTTGGGAGGCAGAGAATAGATGGGGGTGGGGCAGTCAGAGGCGGTATTTACCGGTTCTCCGAACTACTCAAAATTTCCGCTACTGCTTCTCCAGAACTGGTCAGAACTTGTTGAATACCACCTCTGGATGAAGGCCCATGTGAACTAAAAGAGAGGTTTGCTCTCAAGAATTACTGTGCTGCTGACTGTACACCCAGTCAAGGCCAACCATCCTAGAACTCCAGATGGACAAATGCATTTGAAGATGTGCTCCACATGACACTATGCAGGACATGGATTGGACATTCAGCCTGGGTCCCTGGGGGGAGAGATTTTGGGGAAACTTTCAATATGTAACTTTTGCGCCTTTTGGATCAGATCTTGCTTTCCATTCGCTGCTATCATTTCAAACTCAGTAAAAGTACCTCTTCTCTACTACAGTGGATATGAGGGTTTTCTTTCTTGGGTTTTGAATGGAGGCAGGCCTGACAGTGCTGTTTAAAGTAGTTCCAGTACAGCATAATATTTCATCTGGTCAATGAACTCCTCCTTTAAGAAAACTTTCTCAATAATAATAAAATTTCCTCTAGGAGATAAAGTTCCATTACTAGTGAAATATGGGAAGGAAGTGTGATATTGTGTCCGCATAACTATTTTAGAATTAATTCTGAACTAAATATTTCAAAATGTAAGAGATCAGAAAAGTTTGTCATTAAATATTTGCCATGCTTGATTTTAACATTGTCTGCTGGCTTAACTACATATTTTCTCTTTGCTCAGTAACATGAATAGCATTATTTAGGAAGTTCCACTAACTCCGATGTGGCCATCAGAATTAGACTAACAATGAAAAATGTCTACCAGTCTGAAAGTATCTGTTCCAAGAAGAAACTGAAGGATTTCAGGGAAGGACAATAGATAAGTGAAATTCCTGATGAAAAGCATCACATGTTTATCCCTTCTCCTCATTCTTCCTTTATCCCGTAAGGTATCTTAAATAGGTGTTGTTAGTTGCAAAGTCATGTCAGACCCTTTGTGACCCCATGGACAACGTTCCTCCAGGCCTTCCTGTCCTCTACCATCCTCTGGAGTCCATTTAAGCTGACGCCTACTGCTTCGGTGACTCCATCCAGCCAACTCATTTTCTGTCGTCTCCTTTTTCTTTTGCCCTCAGTCTTTCCCAGCATTATGCTCTTCTCCAGTGAGTCCTTTCTTCTCACTAGGTGGCCAAAATATTTGAGTTTCATCTTCAGGATCTGGCCTTCTAAAGAGCAGTCAGGGTTGATCTCTACGACTGATCGGTTTGATCGCCTTGCAGTCCAAGTGCCTCGCAGGAGTCTTCTCCAGCACCATAGGTCAAAAGCCTCAATTCTTTGGCGCTCAGTCTNCCTGCAGAGAAGCACCTCTGTTCTTCGCTGAGTCCCTCCAAGACCAGCGAATGACTGCTCTTTATGCTGCCAGACCCCTGGTTGTCAGCTAGGCTTCAGAGCTATCTCCAAGCCTGCCGCCATAGCCAATGATGTCACCGGAAGTCCGCAAAATGGAGAATTATAAAGGCTAAACAGGAAATCCAATACAGAAGGCTGTATAATTACTTTATGTTGTTATGTATGGTTTGTGTTTTGTTTTTTCTTGTGTTTTTCTTTCTGTTTTTAAAGATTAAAACATTCAATAAAAAAAGGATTCAAAGAGCAAAATGTTAGTGACAGTGCACAGAGGTAGCATCAGAACAGCATAAACCAAACATGTTTTCTGATCATGGATTAGCTCTGGAGAGCAGCCACAAAGTCTAGGAAATGAAGCAGCTAGTTTAAAATCTTCCTAATAGGTTATATTTGTGCCCACATGTACTTTAATTTTGCTCTTCACAACTAGATTTCTGCGCAACTCTAGTATTTACTTCTTCCTTATGCACTATGTACATGAGCACATGTGTATACATTGCAACTCAACAAAATAATGCTATTTCTTTTGTAAAATTTTATGCTTTTGTATACTGATTGATTATAAGTTGCCTTACAGTTCACCTTTGGTTTTTTTTCAGCTGTCTGAATCTTGATAACTGAATTTTCCATTCTTATTCTTATTTTAGCTGCAGTGTTGTTTGTTTAGGGTTAAACTTATTTCTGCAAATATTTGTACTATTTTTGTTATATTGTGAAGCCTGATGTCTTTTTTAACTAATCTGTTGATGTGTCCCTGCATATTTTCCTTATTCAAAGCATTTTCTTCTTTGGTTTTCCTTATTCATATCTATTGTCAACTCATATTGAATACTGAGTCATAACAATATCTTATTACCCTTGAAAAATGAAAGAAAACTCAATAAACATTTTTTTCTTTTATTATAGGTGTTGGGCTTTGAAATAGATACTGTGAACTCTGTCCAGTTTTCAAATCATACAGGTAAGTGTGTGTCCCTGTGTAATTTAATCAGTTATGATTCAAATTATGCCTGTAAAAATTCCCCTTAGTGAAGTCTTTCTCAACCTTGTCAAGTTTAACCTTCATGGACTTCAGCTCCCAGAATTCCCTAAACCAGCTAGGCTGCTGGGGAATTCTGGGAGTTGCAGTCCAAACAGTTTAAATTTGCCAAAGTTGAGAAACACTGCCTTAGTGTTTAATCCTGCTACCAGCCATATTCAATGAATGGATGTAAAACTATCTGTTCTGTGTATTGACATAGTATATCTGACTAAGCACTCTTAAAACAATCAGCTATGTACTTGTCAGCCTTTACTTACATAGCATTTATGTTATACTCAAAGAAGGGAGAAGAGGCAGCGGTTAATTATCCCGAAGCAGAAACATGTGTACCCCTGTAATTCAGTGATCTGGTCAGAATCAGACCCTTTCCCCACCAACCTGTATGGAATCTGAAACACAGCTGCAAGTCTTAAATCCATAAGAAAAAAAGTGCCATTGTACAGGAACCCCTCCCCCCAGTTGAATGTACCAGACTATAATGCCAGGTGCCTCAAACCCCAACTATGTGATGATTTCATGCCAGCTGTGCTTTTGGTGGAGAGTTCTCTTGGAAAATTGTTGGAATCAAAATGTGCACCCCATCTAGCTTGGATTACTATTGCAAATTACCCATTCTTTGATTCTTGTCCAGCTACTGACTGTATATTCTACCTGACTTCTTCTGACTTGGTAAGATATAGTTACAACCCTTAGGATTAGTGTAGCTTTGTCCAATTGATAATTATTGTGGTAAATTATTGTTGTGATCCAGATTAGAACTGTCTGATTACTTATTTTAGAATCCCTGGCACAGAACTATTTCATTCAGAAGCAAAATAAATGATAGCATAGGCTACTTTTGACAGTAGGCCAGTCCAACATATAACTAATATGTTATATCTTAACAGAAAAGTCCAGATCAAAAGAGAATTAACTTATTTGGTTCTAACTAACTACCATGTTTCCCCAAAAATATGACACCCCAAAAGTAAGTCCTAGCTCGATTTTTACACATTTGCACAATAAAAGCCATACGCTCCAAATAAAACCTAGTTAAGACCCTGCCCACTTTGGGGTGAATGGGGTGGGGGGAGGTGCAGGGGTAAAAATTAAGCTAGACTGGGGATGGGGGACGGAGCTCCTCTACTTACCAGGCCTTGCACACTCCAACACTTCTGCAGCCACTTTCCACCACTCGTGCGTATCAGCCCTGGCCTACGTTTTGCCTTTTTTGGTGGCAAAAAAAATATAAGATAGGATCTTATTTTCGGGGAAACATGGTAGTTGCTAGATAATGTATCTCCTGCATAGAAGTTTGAGTCTGCTTTCTGAATGAGTTATGTTGCTATACATTCATTCATTCATTTGCCACCCACCTTTTTTTAAAAAAGTTTTTATTTTTAAACAATCATAAAACAAACAAACATAGACACACACAAAGTATAAAAACCATCCTCGAATTTCCTACAGTGTGTCGATTGGTTACCAAGCTTTTGTGCCTCCTCACAATAGTCTTCACTTGTAATTTACATAAAGTCTCATATCATCAATCTAATATATATGTATACAATTATTATAATTATTAAACATTCATTGACTATAGCTATTAAACATCCTCTTTATTTGAAATATTCTAAATTTAAAATAAATTTATATTATGGCATTTCATTACATCATCCTGAAATCATCCAGTAATATTACTTCTTTATATTCTATTCTATATAGAATTATTTATCTTTTATAACAAAGCTTTTTAACTTCATCTCCATAGTCCTCACAATTTATGTAAAATTTCATATTATCAATCGTATGTATGTATGTATGTATGTATGTATATATATATGTATGTATGTATGTATGTATATATATATATATATATATATATATATATATA